CATCCTATTGGAGGTCGACCGCTGGAAAGAAGAAGGGTCGTCTGGAAAATCCCATTTTCTTGTTTTTAGACAAAGCAAGTGGCACGCCTAACATCCAACTCACGTGGTAAAGGCCGGCTGAGGATTTTTGAGGAAACACTATCAATTATTTATTAGAAAAAGTTCTTGTTGCTTGATAAAGTGCTCTTTCTTATGTATTTTGGAAGAAGCACTTAACCATTTGAAGAAAAAAGCTAATCCCTAGAAATAGATCAGCAACCATCTGGATGATTATGCAACCAAACATGTTTGTTGAGCATAAAGCATACTTAGGCTCCGTTTAGTTCATGAAAAGTAACTTGATTTTAGAAAATATATTCCAAAAAAGTCATTTTCTTTTATAATATACACTTCCCTTTTATAATATACACTTTCCTTTGTTTGGATGACTACATGAAACTTTCTACAAAAACATTTTTCCTTGTTCGATTCATATTAGAAATCTTCATTATATGCTAAACATTGAAAATGAAGACTTTTTCTAAACATTGTGATAAAAACGTCCAGCGACATGGGTGCTGCTCAGGAATAAAGTTGCTAGAATTCTTCTACCACAGGGCCATATTGATATTGAATGCTCAGGAGATACTCCCCGAGCCAGACACAAAGATTCAACTACTTCTTGAAGCATGCCTTACCAAATTTCGACATACTGTCCAATCGTTTTATTTATTTATCTATTTTTCTCTTGATTTGAATAGAAGCCTCCAAATAATTGCACTCAACGGAAAAACAGCTGTTAAAGTCTTTCATTTGAATAAACTCCAATGCATCGTCCTCATGATTTTTGTCAGATCTAGGACAAGAATGCCACAAGAAGAGAAAGCTATGTTAAAAAGGTTTCAGTAGCCTTTGTGTACATAAACAATTTCATGTTCATGAGGCACTGTTGCAGTCATGGTCCTGTGCCTTGGATCTGTCAGAACGGCCTTCACATTTATAAAGCCAGCGTCTCTAAGTCTTGTTTCCAGATCAGTCAGGTAGTACTCATCTAGAAATGGTTCGGTGCTCTTCAATAATGTAAACAGAACAGGGGAAAGTTCCTAAGAGGAAACCGAACAAAGAAGATGCAGCATTAGGGTCGCTGATATTGTTGTCAAAAACCAAAACTTACAATATACTTTATGATGATAGAATTTATGCCGAAATTTATGTCATTATGGTCCTGTAGTCTTGATGCACAAAACTTTTGGCGTCATCACATACACTTTTACCCTTCAATCTCTTAACACTGTAATTACATTTTTAAAATTTTTATTATAATTGTACAGGTCTAAAACAAAATGTCTGTAATCTATAAATCGAATCATTTAAATTGGAGGAACTAGACTACCAGACATCATTACATGGAATCATAGCAATTCTCACTGGAAAAGTTAGTGATTTAGTGAAGTGCAGGAATTATACCTGAATGATCTTCGACTTGGGCTGCAATTAAAACTAATTACCATTAGTACTGTTATGGTAGCAGAGAAAGGGATTTGTATATAACTAAACATAGCAATTATGATTAATACAATAATGATATTGTACCGCTTGATCAGTCAGAGCAATTGTGCCTCCTGGCCTAAGCAGCCTGAATGCTTCCTGTACTAAACCAATTATTGCTCTTTCAGGGCATTCATGAAACTGTTAATGCAAACCATAAAGCCAGTCAGAACCACAAGCTATCTGCATATATTTTATAAAGAAGAAATTTTTCAAAAAAAGTTTAACCAACATCTGCAATTCCTTCATGGTAAAAAGCTTAATTTGAGCATCAAGCTTCTCTTCTTGTTGGTTGGCCTTAAAAAAAGGAGCATCAGGCTTCTCTCTATTCACCTCACTATACAAAGACCATGGTAATAGTCATTTGATTTTCTCCATGGCCAAAGCAGAATTGATGCAGAAATTCTTTGTCAAGCCAGAGACTTATGTGTTCTTATGTTTGACTTGAGATATTAGAAATTTACTTCTGAAAAGAAGTTTATAATCTGATTTCATCTTAAATAAAAAACATTTTGTAAACATACATCTAAAACTAAGTCAAAACATCGACTCCAAAACAATTTCATTTCTTTGGAGGAGAAAAACCTTTGACTATCCTATATCCTTAATCATCTCCCTTTCACTAATTAAAGACTTCTCCATGCGACTGAAAGATGAAACAGTTCAACAACAGTAAGAGAAATTATAAATCACATAGAAGTAACATTATTTCCAAATTATTCAAAAATACAACATGGTAACTTTTATTTGTATCTATTTACATTTTTACAAAATCACTTCAATGGATCTCTTGACTTTATCTCTATAAATGGTAAATGACTTAAGATATGTACAAAATGATTGGTCAAATTTAACTGAGTTTTAGAGTAATGTCATCAAAAAATTTAATCTTCCAGCTTGACATCTCCATGGAGATATCAAGATTTTCTTAATTTCCTTAACATTTCCGATAGAATTAAAAGTTTCTTGTTAAGCTTGAAAACTACTCAATGAAGGTAAAGTGCCCCTTAATATAAACGGAAGCACTGAAGCAAGAAGACATGAGAGAATCCCTATTTGATACCCTAGACATCAAATTCATTTCAAACCTTTCCAAAAAGCAGGTCTTCTAAGTGATTCCCAATCATGGTACATCACCAGATAGGATTTCCTTAGCTTTCCATGAACAAGATGGTATCATGCTAGGCAACATAGGCTTCACAATATTATAGCAAAACAGGGCTTGAAGTTACTTCCTAAGGGTAGCAAAAAATGGTCGGTACCTTTGTATAATGCTCTAAATCCCATTCCCCCTTTTCCAAGAGATGGTCCAACCATAAATTTATAAATGTGACTGAAAAGGCAGCCGAACAGAAACCTATTACAATTACTCATAGCTCCTCAGTGCATGGAAGCAAAATGCAACAACAAACCATCAGCCTGATTATTGGAAATTGCCAAACAAATAGAGCACTCAGCACTACAAGCACTCCAACCATCTTAAGATAAGCTCAGTCAGAGGAACAATGAATTTGTCACTCAATCCCTCCCTCTCTCTCTCTTACTGACATGCATTGAAGCATTTTTAACAACAAACTGTGGGCCCTGCTCTTAGAAACTGCCTAACAGAACAGAACACTGAGCAATTTGGCCAGGCTACTAAAGCATTGTCTCAATGTTTCATCATGTACATTCATTTTGAAAAGAATTTATTAGAGAATTTTGTTAAATTCCATCTAGAAACTCCTTTTCTCCTCAGTATAGAATGTATAGATTTCATCTTTTTAACTAAATTAGAAGCATCAACAAGATAAGACTAGTCTGCAATAGAAAGCCAGAGTAATCTATGACATAGCTCTGAAAAAAATAAGGAAAGCAACAAAAAGAATCACCTAAATGAGTAAATGACCTATGCTTCAATGAGAATTAATCATTCTATTTATCAAATTACAAAAACTTTAAGAGTCCCAGAAAAAAGAAGATGAGGAAAAAGGTCAGTAGGAAGGAGTTTTTATTGTTCCACATTAGGCCTAGACACATATTGGACAACTTGTTAGTTCATCCAAACATGAAACATCAGTTCTCCAAATGTTAAAAAGAACAACTAAGTCAGAGAGAAAGACATACCACATAAGAAAAGGAAACAAGATCAAAAGATTTGGAAGGCAAGCCTGTGTCTTCTCCATTTGCATGTATCCATGTGATAGGATTCTTTCTTGCGACTCTTTCCTTTTCCTTAAACTGAGCAACAGCAAGGAAGTAAGGTGACAAATCTAATCCCTGCAGCAATTGCATCAAGACATGAACATACAGACCACATGTTAATTAAAGACAAAAGATACTATGAAATTTCAATCACTAAACTTTTGTGATTTGATCCACTGTTGTTCATTTGTAGGAATGTCCAAGTGACTCCTTATCATTCCTTATTCTTTTCCTCTACAGAAAAAGAAGAGAATATGGAACTAGCATCTTTGGATCAAGAGTTAAAACTTACAGTGACTTTAGCAGAAGGAAACCTGTCAGCAAGATATCTTGTGCTCACTCCTACCGAACATCCAATATCTAGAATGTCTTCAATAACTGAATTTCCAGAATATTGCAGATGATGTTGTTCAATTTCTTTAACCCAATTTCCACGCATTATTTTATTTGCCTCCTCTAATGAACCATCTGGTATGGCACGTCTTAACATTGACATGGTTGCAGCCTCAGCTTCTGCAGCAGCCTGTCATTTCACAAGCAATCTTGAAGTACAAATTAAATTTCTTTTCTTAAAAGAACTTTTAACGCAAGGAAATAACAAACAAAGCTAAAAACTGCAAGAAAAGTTGCTGATTTTGAATCAGAAATCTCCAATCTAGTAAATCAATATGTTTAGCCAAGGTTTTTAATACAACATCAGAATGTTGAGTTCTAGGCTGTTTTGGGCCTTGGGAAACTTATTTGACATGAGAAATGCAGGCAGTCAAATGTACATGTACATAGTTGCATACAAATAGTGGAAATGAATGTAATGAGTTTAAGATGAACTTACCAGCCATGAAAGATTGCCCTCATCATAAGCATGAAAAGGACTCAAATAATCTGTTCAAAAAACATTGCACTGTTGATTACTCCATTTTCATAATACAATAACATCAATGAGTAAGACATTAGTAGATGCATGTCTAGCGCACTAGCAGGTAGGATTAGGAAATATATATATACATAGGAGGAAACCATTCATACACAAGTCTTACGCACCACACTTATACAAAATCTTAAGCATTTATCTCTTTACTTTCAATGGTTGAAAATTATCACAATTTTTTATGTAAAAATGATGCTTATTTTTAACAAATGTAAATAAATCTCAACAATGGCATAGAGAGGAAAGATTCCATTAAAGAAAGGAAGGAGAATTACAGTCTGGGTATACGATTGATGGGTTTTCAACGGTCTCCAGCTCTTTATAAACATCAGACTCTAGAATCTCCTTTGTCATATCCCTCCATGGAATGTTCTTCTTCTCAGCTGTACTGTACCATTCGTATCACTATCAAGTAAGACCCAATAATATAAACTTCAAATTTACAAGAAAGTAATCGAAAATGAGGGTGAAGGGACCTGATGAAGACTTGTCTGGCACCGAGCTTGAGTACAGAATAAAGGGGTTTGAAGGAAATAAGAGATCTAACAACACGAGAGACAAAGGTGTCTCCTGCCCACTTTGGCCTCTCCAGTTGCCCCTCCTCGTACGCCGCCAAGTCCGGTGATCCTGCCATCCGCACAACCGCCCAATCTCTTCTTCTCCGTCTTGCATGGTTGCCGTTAACCGTCGGAGAAACGAGAGAAAGGTTGTAAGTTGGAGCGCACAATTCCATTGAAATTGCAGGAAAATAATCCAAACTCTTTTGTTGAAAGATAATGGGTAGCAGTAACACAACAGGGCACACTCTCAGTTGCCATGTCATCAATCCATATCTTGGCAGCCAATTAAGGAGCGACACGTGGTAAAGGAAATGCGGAAAGTTCACCAGGGGCATGGGTTGCACTTACACTGTTTGAGATGGAGAACTGGGGATGGATGGATGTCGTGTGTTGTGGTGCTGTGATAGGGGCTACGTCACTTGAATTGTTAAGGCTGCAGCAGTTTTGTTCTAGGCTTGGAGCGATTGTGTTTGCTTTGGTATGCAATGATTATAATTATGATTGTAGTTGTGTTGATTTATTTAATTATAATTAAAAATTAAAATTTTTAATTTTTAATTATTTATGTTTTAAAAAAATTATAAATAATATATGATAAATTTTATTAACTATTAATAAAATTTGAGAAATATTATATGATATATAATTTTTTAAAATAAATAATACTTATCAATAATTTAGGTTTTCTAAGTTTCTAATAATAGATGTTCTTTTGAGTGCCTTAGGAGAACAACTGATAAGAAAAGAATGCGTTTTAATTTTTTTAATGAAATTTTTAATTAAATAAAAGATTAGATTTAAATAAAATATTATAAATTATAGTGTAATTGAGTTAAATGAGGTTGAATTTCAATAAGTAATTTTATAATTGTATTAAATATTAAATGTTATTTATAAAAGTCACAATTAAAAAACTTCAAAATAAGACTTTTAAGTTTTTATATAAAATTATTGTGAATCTATTATGATTTTTTATAATTTTTTTTAAAAAATAATTCAAAAAAAAATTACTAAACAAATATATATTTTAAAATACTATACAGTTACAAAAAAAACCCAAATCACAATCCTGAACGTAGCTTTGATACAGTTAATTTTAAGAGAGTATTATTCTCATAGAAATAAATTTTATACAAAATTATATTGAGGTTATTTAATTTTTTAATATAATTGCTTTAAATTTATTATTATTTTTTAGATGAAAGATGATTAATTTTTTTTTAAAATTAAGATAAAAATGAATAAATAAAAGAATAAGCATTTATAGTGAGTTTGGATTGATGAATTGAAAGGGGGAAGTGGAGAGAGTGAGTGGAAAATATCTCATTTAAAAGAACATACAACACACAAAAAATTTTACAGACAACTTAACAATAAATTTAGCAATCTAGTTTTTATAGCTATATTGCTTAACATAACTCACAAATCTTGTTTTAGCACAATTTCAATCAGATTTAGGTTGATTTTAGTTTATGTCGCAATTTCTTGTTTATTTGGTGATTTTGAGTTAAGTGTCATTTTTTCAAATATCTATTTATTTAGCTTTCATGCTTTTCATTTGTGCTATTTCAATCTTATTTGCTTAAATATCATAATTAGTTAATTTTAGTCTAAGTTTTAACCCATTTTATTATTTATGTCTAGAATGTTTTAGTTTAATCTATTAATAGTTTGTTACTCTAATTTATGAATACTTTTAGATAAAAACTTGTTTAGCTTACATTTCACTTATTTTATTTATTTTGGATATTTAATCTTTTAATTAATAGTAGTGTTTTTAAAACTTTGTAATTGTTCAAGATAGTTCGTAGCTCATTTTATCGAAAGGTATCCCACCTTTTTGTAAATCATTTGAAGGCATAAAACTCAATTTGATAGTTAATGTTCTTCTAGCCATCCCTTAAAAAGGTCAACTGCTTAGAAGAATATGCAATCATTGAGAAAATTTGACTTTTTTACTCGACAAAAAAATAAGTAACAAATTATTATTATTATTATTGCTCCATTTATCTCTTTTTGTTCTAAAATAATAGATATTTTTTTTATTTAGGATTTATCTCAGAATAAAAGTCTTTTCATATTTTTAGATAGGCAAATGTTTTTTTTCATATTTAACTTTATGATTATTTTTTAATTTTAATTATTCATTTTATTATAAAAAAAATGTCTTTATTTTTATTTCTTTTTTAAGAGTAAAATAAGTGCAAATAGAAATTGTCTCCAAATTATAATCTTAAAATAAAACAAAAAAATATCTCTTATTTTGGGATGGAGAGTATCATTATTATTATTACTTTATTTTGGCTTACCTTGTAAAAAGTAACTCTTTATTGTTTCTTATCTAATTTCACTCACATATCATGCAGCTTTAATTTAAATTTCAAACCTTTATTTTATTGAAAGGAAATTACCATTAAACTAGTTAGATCCTCAGCATTAATTATTATTATCTTATATTATTTTTATAATTATCATTCTTATTATGAAATAATATAAAAATAGAATAAAATAAAAACTAGAAAGATGAACAAAGACAATATAATAAAGAAGTGACAATAGTTTGAAGGTCTCGTTTATTTCATTTAGAATTGGCTTATTTATATACCAAAGGAGGGACGTGTAACTACCAACTCAATTCATTAGCTAGTCTTTAATACTTTTTTAGTTTTTGATCTAAGGTTAAATAAAGCCATATAAATGTTGGCCATTTATGTTTTGAATGGTTAGCTACAATTATTTCATATTTAGATTAAAAAATAATAAAAAAGTGTAAGCCATATTTTAAAACAATTATTCAATTATTGTCGTTAGGGTTGTATGATGAAAGTAAACCCCTTAGGCTTGCAACATGTATCATTATGAAAATTAAATTATTAACTGATAGAAAATAGCAAGGCAACTAGGGGGCCATAACATAATATTTAAGTATAAAACCACTATAAGTTGAGTTATTCAATCAATAATTTCATTTTTATTTTTTGTTGTGCAAAGCCTTAAGTAAGTTATAGGGAATGAAAAAAGTTGACAACAACTTGCTTTTCTTGTAAGCCTTACCCATTTGCAAATATCAAAATTAGATTTAAATTACTTCCTGCATGTTGTGTAACAATAGATTTATCACCCACAAGCTTAGCATTTGGATGATATAAAACCACTAAACCAGCCACACTTGATCAACATCGGAGCTACCTGTTGAAAACAAGTGGTACCACAAACTCACTTTTGCAACTATCACACCATTATTAATATGCATGAACCATCTGTGTGCATGCAAAGAAGATATATATTTGCTTTTTGACTATACCTATAGTGTGTACACATAAGAGCTAATTTAGTGTGTTAGCTCATCTTCCTCTTCCTTGTATCCACATGTCTTACTCTTTTTCCTTTTAGTGCCTTTCAATGGAACTACCATCAAAAGCATTGCATTTTCATAGAAAGCAAACCAATTACACAATAAAGACTAAGAAACTTTCATACCAAATGTCAAGGTGCATTGATGACTTATTGGTTTTGTCGAAGAAGGACAGTAATTAATACATTTGTTTTGGAAAATGTAGACTATGAAGTTAGACTTGGAAAAATCATGGCAATTGTTGGTCTTAGTGGGGTAGGATAGACCGCATCATCTAACAAGTTAAAATGATATTAATGAGGAGCCCCTTGAGGTATGGCCGTATTAATAATCAACCAATGGATGCAAGGAGGTTGCAAAAGATGTTAGGTTATATCACACAAGATGAAGTTGTCTTCCCATTTCTCATTGTGAAGGAAACACTCTCGTAACATGCTCACCTTAAGTTGTAAGATGGGTGCAATAGGCTTGCAAATAAAGTTAAAGAGCTACTCAAGGGGCTTGGATTGGGGCATGTTGCCAATGTTAGGGTTGGAGACGAATTGAGTTAAGGCATTTTTGTAGGAGAACATAGAGTTTCAATTAATGTTGATTTAGTTCATGATTCAACTATTCTGCTTATTGATGAACCAACATTAGGATTAATTCAACATCAGCCTTTGAAGTAGCATTATTGCTAAAGTCTATGGTATTGAAGCATGGTAAGACAATTGTTTTGACCATCCATAAACCTAGTTTTCAAAATCTTAAGCTCGTTGATAAGATTTTGTTATTGTCAAATGGGAACTGTTCTTCACCATAGTCCTCTACATCTCCTCGAACAACGACCTAGGTTTACAAGTCATTTCATTCCTCAACATGTTACTGTTCTTTAGTTTGCCATGAGAGTTACGAAAATCTTATTCATACATGTTGAGGAAAGTGAAGTAGTAAATAAAAATCAGAAGTTACAAGTTTATGAATATACAAGAAAAAGTAATATATTAGGTGTCTTTAAAGAAATAACTACATATTACCTCAATCCTCAACTTAAGGAGGTTCCTGTATTGGGACAAAGATTCAACCACAACATTTACAAAACAAATGAGTTGTGTATAGCAAGAGTAATGCAAGCAATACTTGTTAGACCTCTATTAGGCATTATATTCATGACTACAATTATCCCTGATACATTCAAGTTACAAACTCAAGTTGGGTTTTTTTCCTTCACTCTTAGCTTCTTTTTGTCATTTATAAGAAAAGGCTTAGTGATATATTTACAAACGAGAAGAATTTTGATGAGAGAAACCTCTAGGAGGGCTTATAGGATCTCTTCTTATGTCATACCAAACACTCTTATCATCTGTCCATTCTTATTAATCATGACCCTTCTATTTGCCACCCCAATATATTGGCTAGTTGGATTAAAAAAGGAAACAGATGGGTGTGTTTACTTTTTATTGGTAGCTTAGATGGTAATTTTGATGTCAAATTCCTTTGTTGCATGTATTAGTGCTTGATTTGGTACCAAATTTCATCATAGGGATATCTCTAATAATGAGGTTTATGGCATCCTTCTTCCTTTCTTACAGTATTTAATATCAAATGAGGACATACCAAGGTGTTGGATTTTCATTCACTACTTGAGCTTGTTTAGGTGTCCATTTGTGTGTTTATTGATAAACGAATATAGAGTAGAAAAGGGAAAGAAAAGATGTTCAGAGATTGTGAAAGAGAGTGCTACTTTGATGGCAACAAGTTTTCTTACAATAAGGTCTAAAGGAATCAAAGAAATGGAGTAACATTAGTGTTGTATTGAGTTTAATTATTGGGTACAAATTACTTAGCTTTTTTGTTTTGCTATATAGATCATAAACCAAAAGTTAGGCTCCAATGAAGTGTATCAGCTTTGAAAACTTTAGATTTTAAGTTAGAAGATTTTAGATGTGTGGAGAAAGATTTGAGAAAAGGAGGATTATTTCCTTTTTCTTCTTTTCTTTGACCAATTGATTTTAACAATGGGATTTTATCGGTTATCTAATTAATACTTCTTAATGATATTAGTGTTAAGAATAAAATTAATTTTTTAAAAAAATTTTTCATGCAAATTAATGGACATAAGGAACAATTTGTACTTATTGGCAAATATTAAAAAAATTTCTTAAAAATATATAAAAACACATAAACTAACCATTTAAACACATTTAATGAAACAAATATATATCTGTATCATTTTTATAACAATTAGCAATTTCAAGTCAAAATCCAAGGTTGGCCAAAAGAAATAAAAATAAAAACCCAAGACTTAAAGGATTAGATATATTAACTTTTCACTATTTAATATTGGTATCATGATCTAGGTTATGTTTAGAGTTACAGTTTCGTAGTAGTTTTTCACATGATACCTTATAAAAGTATTAAATTATCAATGATTAAATTAATTTTAATTGATATTTTGTATAATAATTGAACTCCCAAATATGCCTCCGAATAGGAAGATAAGGATGGCTTCATCCTTTAAAAAGAAGAACAAATTACTTTTTTAAATTATTAATCAAGACATATTGCTTATTATTTAACGTGTAATGTTATCACATGTTAGCTTCTTGTTTGCTGCCTATTTTTAACGAAAAGTTAAGGTGTGATTAACGAAAAGTTAATGTATGATGTCATTTGTTAAATAATAGATGATTTTTTTTTTTTTATCGATAACTTCAAAGGGCAATTTGCCCTTACTTTTTTAGGGATAGATCTATCATACTCTTCTATTTAGAGGTTGAATTTAGGAGTGTCACATTGTATACTTTAGTAATCAAATTGATCTATGACACTTTTTTCAAAATAATTATCATACAATAACATAATTTTTACGATATGAAAGTATTCAAACAAAACCATAACCACAATACTTTATAACAATCTAAAATAAAGTCTTAATCATTGTGGCACTTAATGTAATAAAAAATTCAAATGCTAGATAATAATAAACATTCACAAACTCTTTTGAAAATATATGAAAGGAATCTAAATGATAACATTTAGAGTTGTAAATTCTATATAATTTCAAGTTAATTATTATGTTTTGATGAATTTATATGATCTAAAGATAAATGAATTCATTTTCTATTCCTATCATCAGCAACATGATTCCTATCATCAGCAACATGATTTGTTGGTTTAGTAGTCTGATGCTGATAATAATGATAATTTAGTTTAAGAGTCACAATACTGAATTTGTTTTTAAGAGTTTCCCAATGGATAGTATTAAAACCACCTATATTAGATTGGTGTCTAATTTGTGGCTGTAAAAGCTTACTTTTTTAGAATTTTTAATTAAAATTCTTGATTATTGTGAACTTATTGAAATTGCTCAATTAGATGGCATGATATTGTGAATGAACAAAGTATTTAATAACATAATTAGCAATTTGAAATAACTCAAAAAACCTATAGAAGAAGTTTGTAAAAATATTCTTTTACGAATTATGGTTATTGTTAGATGACTTTTTGTTAAAACCACCCAAAAAACAAAATAATTATGTTTGTGTTAGATTGATTTAATTGACTTTAGTAGCTTATAGTTTCATAATTAGTTATCACATTAGAAATATTAATCTATACATTGATTTTAATATTTTAAATAATAAATAAGATAATTATAATTATCAATTATTTTTAATAATTAAATAATGTTTTAAATAGTTTTAACAAAAAGCTTATTGGCCACAACTGTTTAATTTTTGTTCCCTTCTTATCCCACGGGAAATTAATAAAGGAAACGTTTGAAAAGCATGACATTAATTTATTGTGATATCTTTTTTATTTAATGCATTTTTATATAGCGATCAACCTAAAAGGCTAGAATTTTATTTGATTTAAGACAAGCACTAGGTGCCCTTCATATGATACTAGTGAGGGTAGAGATGGCAACTCTAGAAGGAAGAATGAAGAACATTTTTGTGGTGGTCACCTACAAAGAAAAGAATAGTAGAGATATTGAAGTCTCCTAATTTGCAACACTCTTGACTCGACAAGTAAGTTCACTCTTGATAAATTTTTTATTGAGTTCTCTTTACCATCTACACTCCCCAACCAAAGGTGAAGGGTTTCTTTATACATGAACTCCATTTCCTTCTCAAAACTCTGGTAATAATTTTAAATAGTATCTTCTTTTTTTCCCCTTTTTTTTAGTTTACCACTTTTGTTGATATTATTTAATTAAATGCTAGTTTTAATCCTTAATCTTTTAATTTTGAACATTTTTAATCCTTAAACTATTTTTTATACTTTTTGGGTCACTAAGCTATGAAAGATACATTTTTTAAATCTTTCCATAAGTTAGTTCATTAAATCTATCCGAATTTACACATTTTTAGTTCATAAGCTTATCATATATATAAATATATTTAGTTTATATACTTAAAAATATGCATATTTAAACAGACAATAAACTACCTTATAGAGGGATTAAAAAATTTATTTTTCATAGTTTAGAGACTAAAAAATTACAAAAAATAGTTTAAAAACTAAAAATATTCATAATTAAAAATGTAAGGACTAAAATTAGTATTCAGCCATGTTATTTTCATATCCATATGCATTGGCATGATGAGTAGTAGTAAAGTGAGTAATTGCTTTTATTTTTGCTCTAGTTTAAATTCAAAAACTTATGTTGCTGTTTAGAAATATAGCGAGTAATTGGTTTCATAAGAGATATCATAAAAGGAAAACCATGAAAAAAGAATAAGAAGTTATTTATGAGAAAAGGTGTAGATAAAGATATAAATTTTGTCATTTTCTTTATATAAACTTTGTCAATTTTTAAATAATAGATAAATTTTTAATTTTTTTATTTAAAAATATTAACTTTACATTTTTTTATTTAAAGATTAATTTTACATACTTAAATAAAAATAATAATAAACTTTATATTCTTATTTGCACTTTTTCTCAATTATCTCTTCATATAAGTACATGTTCAAAAGCCATTCATTTAAAAATTGTGAAGTTTCCACTCTATAGAGTTTACAACTCTTAGCATTTCTTTGTCATATTTATTAATACCTTTAAATATACTACTTTAATTTTTGAAGAGATGCTTTTGCTTCTTTTTTTTTTTAATTAATACAACTGAATGATAGTAAATGAGATTTTCAAAGTTTGAATCTTAAATTTTTATATATCACCATATTTTTTAAAAAGAGTTATACCCATTAGATCATAATGGTGGTTAGCAAGAGATGCTATTGCTAAACACCTATTTCCCAGCTTCTTTCTTTCCAAAGGCAGAAAATTTGTAGCTTGAGACCTTCGAACTTAGGAAACTAGACTAAGAATTAAGAAAAATAGAAATCTTGCAGGGTTAGCCAGCTAGTTGTTTCTAATTATTTCTGCTAAAAGATAAACAAAGCCAAAGCAGGCCTGCTGTTGGATGGAACCTTGTAGTTGTTTTTATTTTTATTTTTTCTTTTGACAAGGATAATAATTAAAAAATTAATTTGAATTAGTTTGAAGGGTAATGGTTAATTTGAAGTTAGTTTCTAGTTATTTTTAGGTTTTACTGTTTAGTGCTGTAAGGATTTGGTTGTCCGTTTGTTGTTTTTGTTATCCAAAATTGTGCATTATACGTACTAAATTAAAATTTAAAAATTATTATTAAAAAATTTAAAATTTGGTTATCAGTTTTATAATTTCGTATTTAATAAGCTATCCATTTATGTTTTTAATTTTAATTTTAAATTATCAATTTTAATTATTCAAATTTTGGCATAAAAAACAAAAAAACCTTAACGGCAACGTTAGGGGCCTCACCGAGCCTGTGAACCGACACCCACCGTTACTGAGCTACAACTAAAACCCAGCTTGTCCGTGGCGCATTACGCATCCGTCGGCTGTAGTCTCACCCAAGTAGTCTTTTACGTTATGTTTGGTTTGATTCTCCCTTATCTAAATAAATAAATTATTTGAAAAAATAAACTAAAAGGTATTTTTTTTATTTTTTATTTTTAATTATTTTAATATCTAAATAATTTTTTTTATTGTTCTAAACTTAAATATATTATTAATGTGAGTGTAGTTATTACAATACAAAAAAATATAGAGCCACATAAATTATGTTTGGTTTTAGTTATATTTTATCAATTTATCAATTTGAAAAATTTTAAAATAATTAATTATAATATTTATGAAAATTAATTTATAAATTAATTTTAATTTATTATTAAATAATTCATATTAATTATTTTATTTATTCTTAATTATTCTTAATAATAGAATTAGGTAAAATTAATAATTTTGAAGGCGATGTTTTTCGGCTTGGTAATATTTTTACTCGTGGCCTTAACGTGTGGGTGTGACCAAAATGACACCCCCTATAAATGCTCTCATTAGGTTTTCAAATCCTCTTCTTGCTTTTTATTAGCCTCTCCTGACATTCTATGGCGGCGGTTGCCTCATTCGCTCCTTCCATCTGCTCAAAGCCATCATCCAGCCTTCGAAAGTCTGCTAAAACTCTAGGTGGCCTTAGTTTGGCCTTCTCGTCCAACCAATCGTTGATGTCGTTCAAAGCTACCAAGATCAGTACCGGAAATGTTCATGGTGGTGGCTCAGCTCTCGCCGCTAGCATGGTGTCGGTACCTGCAGTGGAGTCTCTGACTTCTCTCGATTTCGAGACCTCTGTCTTCAGGAAGGAGAAGATCTCCCTCGCTGGACACGACGAGGTATTTCCTTTCTGATATTATATGCTTGCTTTCGGGCCAATTTAGTCTGACGGAAATTTGATGTTTATGTCTCATTCAATAACTTATATTTTTTTGTCTTGATTGAATATAGTACATTGTTAGAGGAGGGAGGGATTTGTTCAAGCTGCTGCCGGATGCTTTCAAGGGGATTAAGCAGATTGGGGTTATCGGTTGGGGTTCTCAGGTGATTTGCTGAAAACTCCATCAATTTTTTCACTTTTTTTTATTCAATTGTATACATCTGTTTTCAGGGACGGAGCCAGAAAATTCAATGAGGGAGCGAAAATTAGTATTAAAGGTTTTAGTTTTTGAGAGTATATTTTATGATACTAATTTTTTT